CTGGAGCTCTCTGATTAGTCAGGCATAGGCACTACATCGAGGAAAATGTGGTCATGCCTGAAAGAGCATTGACTGTATGACTTGTAGTCATTCCTAAAATAAAAGCATGAAAAAACACAATGAGGCAGGGGGAAATTTAATAACTCCTCAAGAAGATCTTTGGGCAAACAATGGGAAATAAAGTGTTCAGTGTTTCCATTGATTTTATCCTAAGGAAGGTGCGTGTAGTAAAAAGAGTCTAGGATACTGAACACAGAAGACTGTCTATGTCTTGATTGCAAGTGGAAAAAAAAGGAGCCAGACATCATTCCTGGGCAAAATGAATGAGCTTCATGGACTCAGTCACTGAAAAATTTCCAGTAACTGGGTTTTCGTTAAGAATCACAAAATAAAAATATAGAGAGCAATCTTCTCATCTCTCTTAGAACTCATTTTCTGAGTGGATGATCTGTTTCATTTTGAGAAGCAAAGCTGAATGCAGATGGATAAACGTCAACAAAAGAAACAACCCAATTAGGAAAAAATGATGGATAAGGGTCCTGACAGAGGTGGTGATAATCTTTAACAACACCTGAGCCCATATTTCATGAAAAACATTTCCCAAAGCTCTGTGCTTTATAGATCACATGCATGGATATTTCTCAGGTTGCTGTGAAACATGAGGTGAAAGAAGCTAATTATTAAATTATTCAAATGATTACTTTGCGGCCATAGTCCTTAGTGGACATTTAAGATAAAAAAACTTTCAGTTATCATATTTTTAAATAATTAGGAATCCATTTAGAGGGCACTTGCCACTGAAACACTGCTCTTTCTTACAAGAAAGACTTCAAAGGACCTTGCCTTTATGGGCCTTTTATTTCAGCCAGAAATCCAACTCTGAGCAATGCTACACATTCTTGGATGTGTGGCCATGCAATCCTGAAGCACAAAGCCATCTTGCTCTGCAGGTTGGCTAGCATGGTAAGGATAAGGCCTACATCTGAACAGGCAAGAAAGCAAGCAATTCTGCCTCCTCCCCTTCTTTTATTACTTTCTTAACTATGTCTATTGCCTGTTTGATACTTTTTTTTTCCTTCAGCAGACTGCTCCACTGTTTATGGGAGCCGTAGGAGAAATCCCGGCAAATGCTTCCTAAGTATTCATTATTAATGCTTTGGTTTTATTTATTAATTACATCAGAAGGTTTCATTCTGTATGAACAAAACTGAAAACGTCTAAAAAGATACAGCTTCCTTATAAGGGGACAATATAGTCTAACAGTGTTCCCTGCTGTCTAAAATAGACACCTAGCTAGTTCTCATTCATGAATGGGTGAATCTAAATACAATTATCCCAACAAGTATTGCTGTTTTATGTTTTCCTCATCATTTCACATCTTAGAAAGGCAGTTTTGTTCATTTAGTGCTTGCGGTTCTACGCCATGGAGCTACTGAACCAAATAAGCTGCTTTTATTACATCATTTCTCAACTTTCCTGGATGAGATGAAGCAAGTGCACCTTGAGTTGGCATTGACTACATTCCCTACAGCATGGAACTAACTTTCCCCAAAGGACAAACTGATCTCTAAGTGAATTGCAATCAAATTGAATGACCTTATTTAAATAACATCTTAAACATGACAAGATAATTACGAGTCGATTTTGTGGTGATGGTAGCTTTATTTCTTTCTTTCAGACAGTTTCACTGTTTAGTCCAGGATGTGCCCTGTAAGAGTGATCCTCCTGCCCGAGTCTCCTGATGAAGTGCAAAGAACAACGTGTCCACTGTGTCCCGATACCTTTTTGAACCTGCTACAAAAATCTGACAGGACCATAAAATTTATAATTGACACATTTGAAGAAAAGACATATCAAGGACAGAAACAGTGATAATAGTTGTCCTTAGTTCACGTTTAAACCTTAAAAGCACTGAATGGCAAAGCAGTATCTTCCTGGTAGATCATGCCCTGGTCTTTGGTGAATGCAGCCAAGTGGTCTCATATGTCCCTTCCATCATCCTGGCAATTTCCTGCCATTTCTTCTTTTGTATACCAGTGCTTCTGTGTCAAAGGTCTCTGGGTACATCACAAAACATCTTCAACTATTTAGTAGAGAATTACAAAGCAGCTAAGTAAAACTGCTATATTTTTTTGCACATTGTCCATTTTGTAAAAGACATAAAATAGAATTTACCCTGTTCTTCTCCTTAAAAGATTACTGGGGCTGAGGACCACTTGGTAGACTGATTATGTGGCATTCATGCAAGAAGTCCTGGGTTTGATCATCAGGACCATGTAAAGGGGCTTACAAGCCCGTACCTGTAATTCCAGCAGTTGGGAGATAGAGAAGAGGATAATAAATTCAAGTCACCCTCCCCTACCTACCCAGTGAGTTTAAAGCTATGCTTGCATATTTGAGATTCTGTCTTCAAACAAGCAACCAAAGGTGTCAACAATCTCTAGCAGACTGCTGGTCCTTCACACATGCTTTCACTGTCTCACGCTCTGTTCTGCACAAAACAACTGCAATAATAGAACTGTTTCCTGAACTTATAATTCCTTCTGTGTTCCCTGTGCACTTAGAGTTCGTGACTATTTCCTGTTTTCACAGACTGCTTGCAGGAACGGTTTCAAGGACTAAACACGCTTTAGGACCCAGGTGTAAAAACTAATGCATACTACAGCTTCTCTCCCAACAGTCTTCAACATGAAAACACAGGAACCCACAAACATCTTTTCCTATTTCAAGTTACAGGAATTCTTTTTTCTTAACATTTTTCCTTTTTTTTTTGGAAATAGACTTTTTTCCTCCCGTAATGAATCCTGATTTTAGTTTCCACTCCTTCTACTTCTCCCTATTCTTCCCTACTTCCCCTCCCATCAAGATCTAATCCCTTTCTCATGCTCATTAGAAAACAAACAAGATACTAAAGAATGATAATTAAAATATAATTATTTCATTACTGTATAAAGATAAAACAAAAAATAACACATCAGAATTTGGAAAAAAAAAACAACAAACAGAAAGGTGAAAAGAGAAGGCATGGGAAACAGTTTCACTCATTCACATACTTGTGAACCTCGTAAAAACACTAAACTCGAAGTTGTAGAAGCCGCAATATAGACACAAAGGATCTGGTGCAGATCCGTGAAGGCCCACAATTTTCAAGAATTGTTAATTGTAAAGATTATAACTTTTCTAAGCTGACAGAAGTCACCATGAAGGTAAATTTTCCAATACTAAGAATGTCTGATTAAATTTCTAAGTAGTCCTCTTGAAGAAGAATTGGTTCGAGAAGTGCAGGGAAGCACAGTTACATCGATCCTCTGATAGTATTTGTTTTTCTGTCACTCCTGGGGTGACCCTACATTTACCTTTGGAACTAATTTTACAGCCCTTGAGACACCTTTCCCCTCTAACAGCCGTCTTCTGAGTCCTAGAATTTGCCATTTTGCTTTTTCCAAGGTGAAATGAAATTGTTTTCCTCTCCTCAAGCACTTGATCTCTTTCCTAAACTCTCACACCTTTCCATTGCAAAGTGGTCCTTGCCCTTTATGTGTGGATCCAATTTCACATAATTAGTGCTTATGAAGTACATCATTTGGAGCTATTTCTCCTTCCTCCTCTCAGGCTCAAAGAAGTCTCGCTGATCCACAAATCCACTCTTATTCTTTAGGTATACCTGAGAAGAAAGCAGGTGGCCTGTTTGTCTTCATTTGATCCAGAGTCCTTCATATTTGGGAGTTCTCTCCCAGAGAGAGAGATAAAGACATCTACACCTTTGTAAGAATCAGCCGGACTTCCTTACACAGAAGTAAGCCTCATCCCATACAGCCGTTCTTCAGGACAAAAGTCAGCGACAGTGACGTTTCCCAGTAAAGATGCGCATCTAATTCAGTCCAATTGTTTTTTTCAAAATAGACCGGAAAGTCAGAATCAATTACCATGTCAGTAGTGGCCGATATTTAACCAATTAAGCACCCAGCTAGTTTTACGTTATGAAAAATTGCTACTCTAGAATTATTTGCATTTCTTTATATAAAGCACACCATTAGAAAAGTGTCTGCTGTGCAATCAAATCTTCCACTGACCCACGAAGAGCTTATCTGGGGAACGCTGGACAATGTTATGCGATCACCAGTGATCCGTACTTCATGTGTGGAAACCCTTCTTTCCTAGTCTTCTAGTTTCCCGAGCTAAGAGTGTGAAGCTTTCCATGACTTTTGTGCATTAAGTCTGTGGTGATTGGAAGCCAGAAAACATTTCAGAGCATCTCCACAAAGCTCCTGCAGTTTCCACTCTGTTTTAAAAACCATTTCTGTGACCTTTAAGCAAAAGACTCTAATTCATTGTTTTAGAGTTATAGGATCAAAAGATCATATTCTAGAAAGCCTAAAACATAAACATATTTCACTGTGGTATGAAATAAGATTTAGGCGTGGGAAACAAATTTTGAAAATATACAGAAATAAATATTTCAACTGAAATTTGGTAAGAACTTTGCTTCCTCATATAACCAAAAAATGAGATATGAAATTCTAAAGGGGAAGTCTTATAGAATACATTGGGAGATTTGTTAATCTAAAATTGAAGGGTTCAAAATTAAATTGTCTTTATCTTCTTAGTTGCAGGCAAATAAGCTTCTTAACAGAAGCATTACATATTAAATTATTGTTTCAGATAGCATACACTTTCTCAGAGAGTTCATGTTATTGTTGCATAGATAACAGCTCATCAACTACAAAGACACAGTTACACTCCTAAATAAAAATAATTCTGCTCACCAGCTTCTAGAAGAGCTTGCTTGCCGTCTGAGCATTTTAAGATTTGCTTCAGGGAGACGGTTGAAGGAGGCACAGAAAGTAAACATACCAGACCCACAGCCCAGCAGCTGAGAACTCTGGGAGGAGACACAGGGTCTCAACCATTCATTTGTCCTCCAGGCTATCCTGACATCTGACAGCCACTGACATTGCGAGCATTCCAGCACTACAGACACAGGCCGGAGAGGAGATAAATATAGGACGCTGACACCTGAGCCAAATGAGACGAAAGCTAATGTGAAAAATCACCCTCATTTTGTGCCTCAGTTTTGGTAAATAAAACCCTTAATCCTCTTCCTGCTGAAACCTTTCTATGTCGCGCAAGAAATAGTTGCTGAGCTTATAAAACACAGACATTCAAAATGACCCGGGATTACTGGTAGGTTTGCTTCTCATGATTCTCATTTGCTCTGACAGAGATAGTCTTGGTTTTTTGTTTGTTTGTTTTGTTTTTTCCTGATCGAGCGTAAAACAGCAGTTTGCCATGGTTTAATCAACAGACAGGGTTTTGCTCCAGTCACGAGTGAAAGTTATTTCATATTACCTATCAGTCCCTAAAATGTGAATGTCTGTGTGGTAAGCTTTCTTAGTATGTTTTCCCTTATTTCTACTTATAGTTTGGTCATTCTTGTTTAACTTAATTAATGAGTCAGACTGTATCACACATTACTGTGGTGTTTAGGTTTGAATTACTGTTATTTAAAATCTCTTGGTGGTTTCCTGCAGTCGGTTTAAAGTGAGTTTTACTGAATACTGTTGATAGGTACATGAATCAAGCATGGCCCTCGATCTGAATGAATCCTGTGATTAAAGTCAAACTCTGATAATATAGTGGCATGTTTTTACCCACACATCACCAGTTTATTAAAAAATCCATTCATTAAAAATTTCCCCCTAGTTAAACAGAGAGGCCAGGAAAGACCAACAAAGTCAGGTTGTACAATGCTCTGTTTCTTTTCAAATGCTAAGTATTTTTCATTTAGTAACTATTCTAGAAAAGTCGAGGAAGATACTAAAGGAAAGACAGGGCATAGAATTCCATGTTTTATGAGAAACTCTACAGTAACAAATAGTACCATTTTGTTTCCTTACCCCAAATAAGCCTTTCCAATCAACCTCATAGTTATAAGCCTATTCTACAGAAAATAAACTAAAAATATATAAATATTGACAGTGCTAAAAAGGAGTTCATCTAAGTATCTAACCTATACAGTTTGGACTGTATCATAGTTATAGGCCAAACATTAATTTCACCTGCCCTTTACTTGTATCAGACTAGCCATCCTATGAACAATAACAAGGATCGACTATTTGTATTAATTTATTTACTTACTTATTTTTGTTTAGGACGTAGGGAAAACAAAGCCATGTTCCCCAGGGAGAAGTGCTCAGATACCAGGAACTCACCTGGTATATATGTATAAGGCATTATATCTAAACAAACACAAAAAGACAGGCTGCAGTCCCCAATTGTAGGGGTTCGCTGTCATCTTTCACGTATGTGTCAAACTCCTGACAGCTTGTGTAAGACTCTGACCTGGGACCCGGAAGGGCAGTTCTGGTAACAGCACCCCAATTGCAACCTGAGTTGTGATAGGTGAAAGATGGGAGGGGTAACCAAGTGGTAATGACTCTTACATTACTAATAAAACATGATTTTGCATATAAAATTGTTGACTGAGTTTTCTGCCCTGTCCGGTTTTTGCAGTCAGTAAGTCCCCCAAAAAATCACACTGAGGTCTACATTAATTATAAACAGATTAGCCTAATATCTCAGTCTTCTGTTTAATTCTTATAACTTACATTAGCCCATAATTCTTGTCTGTGTTAGCCACAGAAAAACGTTTGATGGCTAATTTAGAACTAAGTATATCAGTAAATTCCTCCTGGGATTATCTGTACCTTTATTTCCTTGTTAGCATGGAATTGATGGTGTCACTCAAAGCTGCCACTCTTAAGGAACATCTTCCTGATAGAGAACGTCTTCCTGATAGATGACAGGTGTTCTGCTTTACATTTCTCTGCCTAGCTCGTTCTCAAATCTACCACATGCACTGTTTTTTTTTTCTAAACATCAAATGAAGCCAAAGGTTTTGTTGCGAATCACTCTCTAAACTTAATTCTTTTCTTGGTGGTGGAGGGTTATAATTTGGAAACAGTTTCTCACACTGTAGCTCACATTGGCCCGGAACTCACGATGTGAACCAGGTTTGTCTCAAACTCGAAGAAATTCTCCTCCCTCATTCTCAATGTATGCCATAAAATTGGCTTTAAAGTATTTCCCCCTTGAAAAATGTTAAAAGAGAATTTCAACACTTTTATTACACACGGGCAGCATGTAAGGAAGAACCTATATTAGCTAGGCAGATTTAGTTATTGTACAAAAATACATGTGCTGTAAGGCTCACAGTGACATTATATGTACATTTAAAGATTATAGTAACATGTTCGTAAAATATTGGATTTAGAAGAAATTGGTTCCTATTTGCTCACTATTAAGAATGGAGCCTGAAGGAAATCCATTCTATTAAGATAAATTTCTATTAAGTTCCCCAAAGCTTAATATGTCAATAACTTTCATATTTTATTTAATCCTCTATTCCTTTATCATCTTCACCGACTACAATCGCCTCACCAAAATTTGCATAACACAGTTAAGCCCGAAGAAACATTTATCCTCTTTGAAATGGATGGTCCTTTCTTTATATTAAGATTCTGTACATATGAATCTGTTATTTTATGTGATAAATTAGATGCTAAGACTTATGCATCTGTTTTACTATTCAGTGAATGCACATCTACAAACAAATATCTTGTATTTATTTACACAGGAGTGAAATGAACTGAGGTATAAAAGCAAATAGGTATTAATGAGCTAACAATTAAGGAAGTATTTAAAAATAAGGGCCAGTAAAAACAGTGAACCATGAAGAGGAAAGAGGATGAAAGATACAAACATTAAAGGCAGAAGGAAAATTAGAATGGGAGAGAACAAGAAGGAGTAAGAAGATATGACACAGGATCTGTAGGGATTATTCCTACCTTAGGAACAAGAAGAAGTTTGAAATAACTTGGGTATTTGAAGTACTCTGATAAATACATAAAGAAATCTGAGTTTCATTGAGAAAGCCTATAAGAACAATGATGTTGGATACAGAGAGGAAGAAATGGATGGGGAAAAGACTGAAAAGCAGCTACTCATGAGTGGAGGGTAACTTGATAAGAAGTAGACTCAAGAATGGATTTTATTCTTTAAAAAATGAATTCTGAAGACACAGTAGGGTTTTGCTTGTGCAATGACGTGAGAGAAAGTATGAGGTTAATTAAAAAGTTTTATATGTAATTGTAGAAATCTCTTGGGGTAACCATGAACATACATCTAGCTACGGTGGCTAACACAGATCAAATGCTGAAATACCATTTTATGGATGAAAAGGAGATAAATGAACAAGCAAATAAACTGAATTTAGTCAGATAAGAACACAAGTGAACAGTAATGTAGAAACATGAGGTTATCAGTCCTTGGTGACTTCAGTTTTCCAACTGCAAACCAAGCCAACACCACATGAAAATGGTTTGAATAAAATTTTAATCTGTATTAAAAGTATACAGACATTTTCTTTTTATTAACTCTATAAATAATTTAGGAGTTTATATTTTGTTTGTACTAGAGTATTACAAGTAATCTAGAGATAATATGAAATATCCTCATATTTGTAGCCTATAAACAAATATTTTTAGCACAGGTCTTGGCTGTAGAATACTTAGTCATCAAATTAATAATTATAAATACATTAGTATACAATAAAATATATAATAAACTTATATACATGAATATGTATATATACCTTGATCAGTACTGAGGAGGATTGTTGAACTATTTAGTTTTTTTTCTCATTGGAAGGCTTCACAATACAATATACCAAGATAAAAGGCACTTTTAAAGATAGAACCAAGAATATAATTCTTTCAGTCCAAGAACCACAGGGAAGTCAAGAAACCCAGTACGTTAAAAACACCAAGAATAAATTTTTAAAGATGCTGCAAGAGCTTTACACACATTTGGATGTGTATAGAACTTGTAATCTAATGGAAACTTAGGTCCCCCTGGACTAAGAGCAAATAATATCCACAGGACATAAGGTCCCTCTTCTAGCAAAACAACAGGCTGGTAGCCAATTATGGTATCAGCCAAGCAGATGTCCCACTGGCTTTTAAATCAGACACAGGGCCTGGGTTTGTAACAATGATTGCTTTCATTCTGTAAGATCTTTCTGTTTATGAAATTATTTTGAGGTATTCAGGTAAGTTATCAGCAACAATAATAATCAAACACTTCTGATGTATTTGCTTACTGAGCAATAATACAAAGCACAATTCTGTTTTCTTTCAGAGAAACACAGGGAAGTGAAGGACAGACTTAAAATTCACAATTAAGCTCTAGAATTGAGATGTGTAGCTGTTAACAGTGGGTTTTTTATATTGCTCTTCTTGTAAAGTTCATTGCGGTTTCTTAGCTGTTCTTTCTCAGTCCACTCCTGGGACTTCTTTTTCCTTAGGTGCATTCTAAATGCAGATGTCTAGTCTATTAATTTCTAGACTTACACTATCCTTTTCCTTATATTTTCTCTTCTTAACATTCTTTCCCAGCTTCTCTTTGTGTTTCTGAATTGATCCAAAGTTTATTTCTTAATCTAAAAATTATATTCTATTTGTGAAAATTGTTGCTGAAAAATTTTATAGCCTGGTACATTGCATATTATTTAATATCTTGTGAAAATAGAAATATGTACCATTTTCAAAATTAAGAAAAGAATCCAGGCATGGGAACACACAAATACAATTCAAGCACAAGTGAATGCAGTAAGCTTAAATTCCACTGGAGCTACAACCAAATGACTGTTTCAAAACAGAACAAAAATTAAGTGACTGATTTTATTGACCCAATATTCACTGGGGGCAGACTTGGACTAAATACTCCAGATTCAGGCTAGAACTATTCAGCACTCTTCTGGATGACATTGCATATTAGCCTATTCTCAAGCGTGTAAATAGTAACAGACTAGGTATGGAAGAGGAGAAAGGGGAGCACATCCACTACCTGTGAGGGTGCAAACTAACATAGATACTATAGAAATCTATAACTTATTTGACGTTCTCTCAAAACTAAGAACAAATCTACAACCATCTAGGTCTCCCAGTCCTGGGCATATTACCAAAAGATCCATGTCTTATTACCTGGGCTGATTGCTCCTCTCTTTACAGTGATGCCTACAGCATCAGCCACTGTTCAGATATCTCCATAATCTAGATTTTTAAATTTTCTGCTGCTTGCTGTGGAACAATCTTTATACACTGTAAATATGTATTACTCTCGTT